TTGTATCAGCGCCTTTGATCTTTATATGTTGGAATTATTGCGCTTAATTAAATAAATTTATTATTATTATTATACTGTTACTGGAATTAGCATATCCCGGATATAATATTATTCAAATGATGCAATGTCAAGTCAAATCAGAACATAAAATATAGTCAATAAGCGATGTGTTGAGGATAGCTGAAAGACATCAAACTAAATCAATGATTGTCGACAGGAAAATTTTGCATCTACCTGATAGATATTGACTACTGCAAAATGACTAATTTTCACTGGTTTAAAATTTTACTGATTTATGGTAGCATTTCAGACATATCAATGGGTTTTAAATTCACGGGTTTGTCATTTAGATAATGTGTTCTATGCTCAATTTTACATATTCACTGGGTTTTAATTTAGCACATTTTGCAGTCAGCGAAATAAGCAAAATTAAAACCCAGTGAATAATTAATCCTTTTATTTATTTTATTTTATCTCACCACTTCAAATGTTGTATTTCAATGCAGGGCGATTGGTGTAATGTCAGCAGTGTCCTTGTCTATTCTGGCTAGTGCACTTGCTCCATATCTTCTAACACTTCGAAAAATTTGGAATCCATTACCACAACTAGTGTTTGGTGGCTTATCAATCATATCAGCGTGTCTGGTGTTGATTCTACCTGAAACACGAGGGCGGAGACTTCCTGCCAACATCCAGGAGGCAGAGATATTCGGAAAGTAAGGAAATTAATCTCTTTAGTTCAAATCAAACTGCATATGATATGTTATGGCATATATCACATTGGTGTTCCTTGTTGTCACAGTTAAATATTGTTGACAATAATAATATTACATCTATATTGATTTTTGTTCACACAGAAAACAGCAAGAACCTGGCTACGAAATTATTAACGTTCAAGACAAAAACTGTGTCGAGCTAAGTGAGGTCTGAAAAGCTTACAATATGAAGAAAGTGTATTGTTCATAACCTTGTTTATGGCTTTATGAGTAGTATTTATTTTGTTTATGCTACTCACATCATTACATCATTTGAGTATTCGCTAATATTAAGTATTAGTATAAACAGCATTGGCTCATTTCAATGTTTCATTTTCTTACATACAAATTTTGGAAAACTTTAAATCTAAGAAGACATTTTAAGAACCACATCTTCATTCACCCACTGAAATGCGACTAGTCTCATGTTTAGGACAGGTCTATGACATGGCTTGTGACTGGGGCGAGATGTTTGAAAAACTTGTGACTACCCTGGTAGTATATTTTCGGATGATTGATGCAGAATTTTTAGAGATGTGAATGTGCAGTACTATTAAAAGACACGTGTTTTTAACTTGGTACATATCTACATCTAATCAAGAGGTTTTATATATGTTTTAACTATTTGTTTTACTTTCAATTTGCTGAGAGATTTTTAGTCCCCATTTCAGGGGAGTATTATAGTTTCTTATTTCCAGTTTCCGTCCGTGACATCTCTAACAGTTGATGAACAAGTCTCTGATTTCCATCATAAATTACCTCTCCCAACAACACTGAGAGAACAACTGAACATGTTCAGAATAAATAATTAGGTTAGATGGTAATGCTAAGGTTTTCATTGATGTTATGACCTTGATCTGATTCAGTGACAGAAATGGACTACAGTCTGGTTTTTGTTTGTTTTTTATATGAAAACAAAATCTTGAAAAAAAGTGATCAGAAATGTTGTTGTATATTATATCTTTAAACTGTAAAAATTGCATTCAATTATTAAGAGCCATCACTGAAATACCTTGTCACAAAGTTGATGATCAGTGAAAACACTTTGCAGTTACTGTTTATAAATGGCCAGACACACTGACACATGTGGTCTGGAATTCTTGAAATTCTTATTGTGAAGCCTGGAAATTAATGGTAAACTTATCCAAGACTAAGGTTATTATATGCATTGTATTGTATCATTTTTAATTTTTTAACAATTGTTCTGTAATGAAGTTATTTGTAACTTATTACAAATATCTAGTAATAAGTTTTGTATTTTTTTAAAGAGGCTAAATAATATGACAACAAATAAAAGTTGATAAATGAGAAGTTATGAAACAATAAGGCTTAAAAACACTCTGTGAGTTTTGTTGGCGTTAATTGCAATACACAAAATAGTTCAGTTCCTACTCACTTCTATCTTGCAATGAAATGTATGAAGTAGTAATATAATGTACGAACAATGTTTGTGTGTTTAGAGTCAATGTAATTACATGTTCGTGGTTGAGTATGCTGTGGATGTGTACATGTGATGGAATGTTTTTCTTACTCTAAATCAAGTAGAGTTAACCCCGATTATTGTGTTCAGTCTGCTTTATGAATATAGTAGTTCATCTTTACTACTCTCATGAACATGCAGTGAAAATGAATGGTAAGAATACTATTTTTAGTATAATAAAATCTAATAACACAACTTTAGTAGCTAGTGTCAGACTGGCACTATGGCAATGACAGTTTAATCTGGTCAGCAACGGTATAAAGTTTGCAAATTGACTGATCAGTTTTCACAATATATGTCGCCAGAACGCTCATTTGCATATTCTATTTTGTATTTTAAACTCGGACCATCCCATGTATGTGTAGCGGGATGTGAATTGAACGCTTGCTAATGTTTGTGGTTACTACTGAATTATCATGGATGTACAACTCGAACTCTTCAGATAATTGGCGATAATAAGGGTAATCATGTGATCCTATATTTAATGTATTTGTTAAAATCTACCTTGTCAATTGTGTTTTAGTTTTGCGCACGAGCATTACAAAAAAAAATAATATTAGTGAGTTAAAAAAATCACCAGAATTTCAAATCTATAGAGACATATTTGCCACTTTTTTTTACTGCATTGTGGACCAGTTTTATAAGCGGGATAGTCGATCTTTCACTTCGAACATAGCAGTCACTGAAGTAAACAGTCGGTTGAGAATCACTTTTGCTTTTTTAAAAAATCAAAGTATAATTATACTCAGAATTTCGATTCTGCCAGTTTCAAATGTTTTAGAGACTGTTCTTAAAATGACCTGATGTCCCGGATGAAAATAAGATGTAACGTCGATTGCACTGGTCTGGCAATTTGTAATCACAAACTGTGTGAACTCAAGGAAGCAAATGTGATATATTTATCTGGTGCCGAAATAAGTAGGTATGAAGTACAAGTGACGTAACGGGCCGGTAAAATATGTAATTCGGTCACACTCTAAGATCTCCAACAGAAATGCTACTTCTTTGTAAGAGAACTCTCTCAAATGAATAACCAAGAACTAGCTGATTTATGAGATTACTGTAAAACATGTATTTTTTAGCAAGCATGCTAATTCAAGATGTAGCTAATTTAGCATAAAGTATATTATCACAATGAGATAGTTGACACTTAAATTAAGATTCTGTTAATTCGTGCCAAATCCGTTAAAATTGAATGCAGCTATTTCAACATGTTCTACAGTATTTCTTTTTAGTTTGTCATGTACTGTTTCAACATTGTTTATTTCTCATTTGTTGATGGGTTGATGGACGACAATGTGGTTAAAATAAAACACCAGATTTGAGAGCAAGCATTCCTGCGTAGACAATCGAAAAAAAAACTACGTAGATGGGATGGTCAGAAATGGCACCAACATAGTCGCCAAGCGATCTGCTTTTTAAAAATATAAGTTGTGACAAGAAAACAGAGAAGGGCACATTATCTTGAATGCACTGCATGCGACAATTTTTTAAATCATATCAGAGTCGTGACAGGGGTTACCTAAATATTATTCGACCATACGAAAAGAGCAACGAATGTGTAGTGCGAGATTTAATTTTATACGTAGCCAATCGGATAACAATTCCACGTGAGTATTTTCTTTTGTGTCCATTTGCATAAACTTCAACAACTTACATGATAGTTTAGAAATAATAGCTAAATTAAGTATTATTTTTTCATGTAACCAATGCGATATTGGGCTTATATATACTTCTGTTAGAGATGGTCTTCATATAGCGAATGTGTTGTATCAATTTGCCATTTTTACAAACAAGTTATTTTTATTATATTGCACCGACTTTATTTAAAGGTAATTCTGAGACACACAAGTAACTTTAAGAGCACTAAAACCATTTTCAAATGTTATACAGCATCTGAAACTTTGTATTGCAACTTTGTTAAATGATTTGGACCCTTTATAAAACACCATTCATCGTTTATAGATACAATATAGCAGTGACCAACATAGGAAATTCAGTTAATTTTTTAAAAAGCGTGTGTTCCCAAAAGTTATATCGAAAAGACATATTATACAACCTCATACATTAATTATTTATAATAACAGTGAAGCACTCCATAATTTGACCCCAACAAATGTACAACATATTAACAGTACTGTCTTATCTCTCTTAACAGCCATGAAAAGAACACAATATAAAAATGAAAGTTAAATTAAAATTATTTGAGTATGACATTTTCAGTATAATTTGTTTTACCTTGTATTTCTATTTCTATTTCTATTTGTATTTTTGAACACAGATGTAATGATTTCAATAACATTAGTACTTTTGATTTTGCTACAATATATACATTGCTATACCACACAATAAATGTAAATCCAGACTAGCTTTATTGGTAAAGCAGACCTATAATAAAAATGGTACACGAAGACGTACATTCATAACTCATCATTCTCAATATTTTAGCAAAAACATGTATGCAAAATAGACGATTGGCATTACAATGGACACAACTCGCAGACTTATTCGTATTGGGATGAATTTATGCGATCTCTCAATAAGTCGAAAAATAAGCTTGCTAAGAGCTTCAACAACATGTACAGATACATTGACGACCTATTTATTTTAAATAACGATCTTTTGAGTTATTTTCACTTTGTTTCTGAAGAACTACCATAACCATGAGGAACACAAAAGAAAAACTGGAGTCATAACTTAATCTGTTTCTCCAGATTACATTTGATGCCTTTACACACTGAGCAATAAATTATCAATTTCCTGTATCTTTCTAGTAACATTCCCTCAAATCCAGCTTATGGTGTATACATGTCTCAACTTTTAAGATACTGAGGAGCATGTTGGTCACATGACGATTTACGACTCTCCTTATATACATATCCCTTTTCAAGATTTGAAATTGACAAATCATGATAAATGTGTCAAAAACTCAAACAATTCCGTAGAAAGGGTATTATGACTGTTGTAACGAACGTAACTTTTGCTTGTTAAAATATACATTAACTTATATCTACATATATTTGCTGCTTTCCATATTCAACAATGCCCTATCATCGCTTGTTAAATCAAATTTAAATAAAGGTTTTGAGTAATTTAAATATGAAGCAATCCCCTGATTCGACCATAATCTCTAGCACTATTAATTTTAATCATGCGTACAACATCCAGAAGCAGTTTTAGATGATATATTTGTACCTATGCTTGAAAAGTTTTGATATGCCAATTTTAACTTTGTGACAGTAAAACGGGTTCTAGGCTATATCAGTTCTGATATATGATAACAAATCCAGTATTTGCAATGATAAAAAGTTTGACCTGCCATTGTTTACTGTAGGTAGTTTCATTTTATTTTAAGAGACAAAACATGTCACAGTCATTTGGCTAAAAAAGTACGCATAATATTACATAGTAGTAGTAACAGGGAATTGCAATACGGGTATGTGCCGCCCGACTGGGGTGTCATTTCACGTTATTTTGTTTAGAAGTGGGTAGCCATTTATCAATGGTTTGGTTTAGAATTGTGTAGCATTTATTTACTTTTTCACAGATCCTTATATCCAAAGCCAAATACTGGAAAAGGCTGAATAAAATGCATCGCCCGGATGCGCTCACTGGTTGCGAAAGTTGTGAGCTGGGTGTTTTTTTTTTCCCTGAAAACACTTGTGTTTAGAAGTGGGTATATAAATAGAAAAAAAATGGTTTAGAAGTGAGTATGGTTTTCGAGAGATGGGCTTCACACCCTTACCCATTTAATGTGGAAGTAGCCCCCCCCCCCCGGGCTTGCGACTCGAAATTGTTCCCGTTGTCCGACTCGTTGTAGCCGTTGTACCACTTATTGTACGATCCAGATCTCGGTCGGGAAAAAAACCGTGCTGCTCCGCTCTGCTATTTTGAGCGACTGACGCGATGAAAAATAATTGCGCGACAGGCAGTACGAGTGTTGTGCGACTTTGCACGCACTCGTAAGACCCCGAACGAGTGTTGCACGAGTATTTTCATGTCGTACGATGATGCGTCCTGTCGTACGAGTCCGTTGCACCACCCTAAGACCTGTCTTGCCCCCCTTGCAACGTTGTACGATTTTTTTTCACCCCCAATATGAGCTCGAGAACTCCTGAGCTT